GTTTACATGATCATTGTTGAATCTTAAAGGGTAACAATCATCAATTTTTATTTTCTCTTTTTTTTTTTTAAAGTTTATTACATTTAATTATTCTTAATGATATTTATTTAAATTATCTGCATTATTTTCCATAAGGCCAAATAGTCAGCCACCTTTGTGCGCCACAGCAGGCACGGCACAAAAATGTGAATCCCTTGCCTCTGGCTGGGGGATGTAATTTTTCCAATACCTGTAGGCTACCTCACTTTCCCTGTTTAGGGGAAGCAGCCAGTACACAGCAGAATGGCAGTGGAGTAGGCCGGCCTCTTCTGATGATGTCAGGTAGAAGGCGCAATTTCAACTGCTCTTCATCCAGACTCCAGCATGGCGACGGAGTCCAGGGCCACTCTAGAGGAATTTAGAGTAGAGGGCTTGATTTATCACCCTTCTCCTCATCCAGCTCCAGCACAGATGGGGTCGGCCACCCACTGAATGAAAAAGATAAACCTCAGGGAGGGGGAGACTCTTTTTTTAAAATCAAAAATGTTTTGTTTTGGGGTTTCTAAAGCAGCCCCTGTCCCCTTTCACAGCCCCTGTCCAACCTCCACAGCCCCTGTCCCCCCCTCCACAGCTTCTGTCCTCCCACTACAACCACTGTCCTCCAACCACAGACCCTGTCACCCCACCACAGCCCGTTTCACTGCCTCTACAGACCCTGTTCACCCCTCTACAAACTCTGCCCCCCCAACAGCCCCTGCCCCCCTCTACAACCCACTACCAGTACCCCTCCTGAGATTAGGTTCTGGATCTGCCCCTGCTCTGTATGCCTGTGTCTGCATGTCTCTGTATGACAATATATTTGTGTATGTATGTCTATGTATGACTGTATATGTATGTCCATGTATGACTGTGTATGCATGCCTTTGTATGCCTGTGTCTCTATGTCTTTGTATGCCTGTGTCTCTATGTCTTTTTATGTCTGTGTTTGCATGTCTCTGCATGCCTTAGTCTGTATATATTAGATTATATTATTAAATTATTATATATTATATTATATATAATAAAAAAGGAAGTAGAGCTTATCTAATATAATAATATGTATCAACAATGTATTAGGAGAAAAGATATGTACCAGGCTAAGTAAAACGCTTTATAGAAAGCTGAAATTGTAGATGTGACGATGCAAATAAGAATAAGTCATTGGAATTGTATAGCAATAAAATATGTCCGGAACTGGTAGTCCACTCACTGACATCCCATCAAATCCTATTGTTTGAGACAACAATAGATATCTCTGTCCCTCCATTAACTCTGGATAAAGTGCAATTTTGCAATTTCATTTAGTTTGAAGTGCATCCAGTAATATTTGCTAGTCACAAGTACAAAATTGGTTTGATTATCTGGTTAATCAGAGGATATACCCTCCAGTCAGGTTGTACAGCCAGAGAATGTCTGATGGTAGCCCGTATCATATATGTTTCAGGCCAGATGGTCTGCCCAAATCTCTACAGGAAGAGGTGTGCTTTAAGCGTTAAGCATGAACATCTATGAGTTTTGTCCTTTATATACTGATACACCCCTTAGGGCTATAAAAAAAATGATTGAGTCCTAATAATGTACAAATCCATTGAACATTATTCCACCTAAACACCAATGGAGGCTCGTCTATATAGACACTTGAAGCGGCGTCCCACCAGTTTTTATGTAGGGAAAACATTTATTACCAGTAGTTTAGAAACATTAAGATTCTTTTTCTGTAAGTGAGGGTGGTAAGTGAAAGAAAAATGGGAAAAGTTAGTGTCTCTTTAGTTCTTTAATGCATTGCAGTTCTGCAGGGTCCCTCCTCCCTCATTTGTAGCTGTTTGGAGAAGCTTACTTGAGAGCATCTTGACATGTCAAAAATGGGGCTAGTTTGACATCTGCCCTGTTTGTGCAAGTTCTGCACATGCCTAGTGTGCTTTAAGAAGGATATCAGGAATTTCCATTGAGTTGCGATTGGGACAGCAGAGTCAGCTGCCCATGCTATTGACTTCTCTATTAGGAGGCCATCATGGGCTCATAGCCCACAGGAGAGAGAAGCAAGAAGTCATCTGTGAAGTAGCACAGAGAGAGCACAGCGGCAGCATCTTCTGGCCCCTGCAAATATAAGTGTGTGAAATTATCTTTTTTTATTTTTGAGACATTGGTATACCTTGATTTCTTGATACTTTGATATTTTGATACAAGGTTTAATTAAGTTTAAAAAAGCTAATAACAGACTTTGAGCAGCATATAGTAAAACATTATTTAAAAAAATAAATAATAAAATGAAATAGCTATATAAATATTAATACAAATCTCAAAAATTACAAATTAATTAGTAAACATATACTTAAAAACCTCTATAATTTTCTATATACATTTAAATTTACAGACCTTGCAGTGCTATCCACTGGCCATGGGTGGAACAGTTGGGCTGACAGTGATTTGTCCACCCCCTTATTTAAAAGCTTCCTACCCGATGCCTACCGTATGGCATAGGAAAGTTTAAAATTATTATTTTCTTTATCTTCATTGCAGGGGTAGCTACCCACTTAAAATAACATAAAATACATAAAAAATAAAAATACAGCTGAGCCATAAAATAGCACTAGATGGAATCTTTGATTATAGCTTTGTAAGAACATAAATCAAAATCTAAAGCATGGCTGCCAGGAGGATCACCAGAATTATCCATTTGAGAGAGGGTTGGAGTGCAGGGTATTCTCTTTCATTGTTCAAACTGAGCTCAACTCCTGATGCATGGAGAAAAGGCCTTTACAACCCTCTGCTATTGTGTACATAGTTTATACTAAGTGACCCATAGGTTGAGGAGGCGGTGACCGTGGCGGTGTAGGTGGAAGCAGCGGTGGAGGAGGAGGAGGTAGCCAACACTGTTTTATATATATATGTATATATATATATATATATATATATATATATTCTTTGTTAAACTAATTTGCATATGCCCACCCAGAATCTTTTGCGGTTGTAACATCACTGCAGATTTGGGATTTCTGTGGGAAAAGCAAGTCTTATGGCTTGACTGGTGTGCAGATTTTTGTTTAACATTGTATTAACTATCCACAGACTTCAGGTGGAAGGGGTTTTCAATCACAATTTTTCCCCACCATAACCTAATTGGATTTTGCTATATATATATACATATATTTTTTTTTTTTACATTTTTTTTTTAAATTGGGGTAGCCCCGAAAATATTGCAACATATAAAAAAAGAAACATTTGCGGCCTACGGTGCATTTCTTGCAGTCCAATAATGCCATCAGGTTTTTAAAACTGTCCGTCTCCACCAGACGGAATGACAGCATTTCAAAGGCCACAAATTCTGAAATGCTGGCATTCAGGGCCAGGGATCGCGGGTGGCTAGGGGGGTACTTCCTCTTTCTCTCCAGTGTTTGGGAGATGGACAGCTGAAGGCTGGTGCAGGAACCCACCCTTCGAGCCAGTGTGAATGACTGGCCTGATAACAGTGGGAATGACCCCTCTTCCTCCTGTGCCAAATCCTCTCCCATCATAGCCCAAAGCGTTTTTTTATGTCTCAAGGAGACATAGAAGCGGGATAGTAAGGCTGAGAACAGCGTCATCGGCACTGGCCATGTTGGTGGAGTACTCGAAACAGCGCAGCATGGCACACAGGTCTCACATGGAGGCCCACTCATTGGTGGTGAAGTGGTGCTGTTCCGCAGAGCGACTGACCTGTGCGTGCTGCAGCTGAAACTCCACAATCGCCTGCTGCTGCTCGCACAGTCTCTCCAGCATGTGCAAGGTGGAGTTCCACCTTATGGGTATGTCGCATATGAGGCGGTGAACGGGAAAGCCAAAGTTACGCTGCAGCGCAGGCATGCGAGCAGCAGCAGGGTGAGAACGCCGAAAGCGCGCACAGACGGCACGCTTCTGCAGCAGCTCTGATATATATGGGTAGTTTTTCAGGAATTTTTGCACCACCAAATTCAGCACACAGGTCTCACATGGAGGCCCACTCATTGGTGGTGAAGTGGTGCTGTTCCGCAGAGCGACTGACCTGTGCGTGCTGCAGCTGAAACTCCACAATTGCCTGCTGCTGCTCAGTTGGTGAAAAGCGGCGGGATTCCATGTCCCTGCTCTAAACTGCACTGCAGGATGTGTGTGGAGCCAGAGGAATAAAGCCTGGTGGGTGTAACAAGGCCAAATTGACTGCTGCGCTCATGGAGGACGACCAGGCACGCAGTGAGGCAACGAACCCCAGCCAAGGGCCGGAGATGAGGAGGAAGTGCGCAAGGAGGTGGAACGGTGTCTGGCATATTACCGAGAGCCACCCTCAGAGGAGATTGTCAGCAGGACGTTTTTGGAGGTGCAAGCCTATGTCCTTGCCAATAGACAGAGGGTGACCTCCATGAACCCAGATGAAGGAAGAAGGGAGCAGAGGGCGCCGGGAAGCACAAGCACCCTGGCCTACAAGCTACCATACAATGCCTTCAAAGAGTTCAAGGAAGCAGAAGAAGGCATCGATTACTTTTTACAAGACTTTGAGCGACAGTACCTACTCCAAGACGTGGACCCCCGCGACTTGGTCACCATCCTGACCAGCAAACTAGTGGGGAAGGCAGAGGATATTTACCGGGCTGTACCAGAAGAGCAGATCAGAGACTATCCCTTTATTACACAAATCCTCCTGGCCCGGTAACTAGTGGGGAAGGCAGACCTTGCTAATCCATTCCACACTGTGACTCCTAACTTCAACATCAGGTATACTGGGTCACCCCGAGCAATACCGCTAAAAGTTTAGGGAGACCCGGAAAGGGGAGAAGGACTCCCATGCGGAGTGGGCATGCCGCATCACAAGGGCCACCCAGAACTGGCTCAACTCCCATCAAGCCAAGTTCCTGGAGAAGATCACTCTGCTCGTCATGCTAGAGCACTTTTTCAATGGGCTCCCCAACGACACGGCTGGTGAGAGACCGACAGCCCAGACCCAAGAAGTATTGGTATGAGCTGTTGAAAATTAGCTCATTAAATCCCATTGGCATTGCATTGCATTGGCATTGCATTTGTGCAGGAGCCGGACAGCGTCTCGGCTCACCCACAGCATCTTCTGGCCAGGCATCTCTGTGAGGCATCTGGCAGTACTGCCAGATGTCTGCCAGAGAGTGGGGAAGAGAAGGGACCAGCCCAGGGCCTCTACCTATTAATGAAGATCCGTTAGGCAGAGTAGCTGTCAACATTATAGTTGCGCATGCACTTTGATGACTCTAGAGAACCTCGGGCCAATCGCACATTCCCGTGACAGCGACGACGCATTCGGATGTCTGCCCTATCAACTTTTGATGGACTTTCTGCGCCTACCATGGTGATCATGGGTAACCGGGAATCAGGGTTCGATTTCAGAGAGGGAGCCTGAGAAACGGCTACCACATCCAAGGAAGGCAGCAGGCGCGCAAATTACCCACTCCCGACGCGGGGAGGTAGTTATGACAACAATACTTTAGGGGCCCTGTAATTGTAATGAGTCCACTTGAAATCCTTTAACTAGGATCAATTGGAGGGCAAGTCTGGTGCAGAGCGACTGACCCATGCGTGCTGCAGCTGAAACTCCACCATCGCCTGCTGCTGCTCGCACAGTCTCTCCAGCATGTGCAAGGTGGAGTTACACCTTGTGGGCATGTCGCATATGAGGTGGTGAGCAGGAAGGCCAAAGTTACGCTGCAGCACAGACAGGCAAGCAGCAGCAGGGTGAGAACACCGAAAGCGCGCACAGCCGCTACAGTGAATGTCACATCCTGTTCCAAGTTACGGATCAGTCTGGTGATAACTTCTGGTATCCAGTACTCTTTTTACTGAAGCTGCATCAGGGTCCTGGTATATGGCCGCACAAATGCTGGTGTGGTTACACTGCACCAGACCTTGCTAATCCATTCCACACTGTGACTCCTAACTTCAACATCAGGTATACTGGGTCCCGGTCGTCTGACCGCCGCCCAGACCGTGTCTGGGTCCCGGTCACCAGACTGCTGCCCTCAATGTGAAACTTTGAAGGGCTCGTTAAATCTGGTACGAACCCGAACTTTGCAGTTTGGGTTCGCTTAACTCTATTATGGATCCTTTGATCGCTCCATCTGTTACTTGGATAACTGTGGTAATTTACGAGCTAATACATGCCGACGAGCGCAAGGGGATGGCTGCTCCGCTTTTGCACCCTGCCCCCTCTCATGCTGTGCTGGTGCCTCTGTGCGATCTCGCCTCTTCCTCCAAACTGCACACGTCCATGACCTTGATTCTAGGACCTCACCATCCTCCACATCATCTTCCACCCACTCCTCAACCCTGCCCTCCTTGCTGGTCTGCACACTGCAGAAAGCCACAGCAGGTGGCACCTGTGTTTTTCCAGCATGTAAACTCCGCAAAGGACATATGGGAATTGTTTTAGAATTGTATCCAGGTAACAGTTTTCCCTATAAACTGACCTCTCAGTTTGACTTGTGAGGGTATTGCCCCCGAATTACAATATTGTTATTTGACGGTTTTATTTGACTGTCAGATATGAAGTGCAGGCCGCAAATGTACTATTTAGCACCCAAAAAAATGTGAATTGTTCAAACCGAGCTGTAACCACAGTATTTGGCGGTACTATTTGTCTCTCAGATATGGAGTGCACACCCCAAATTTACTTTTTATCACCCCAAAAATTTGAATGGGTCAAACTGTGCTGTAAGCACAGTATTTGACGGTTCTATTTGACTCTCAGATATGAAGTACACAGCAGGCCGCAAATGTACTATTTAGCACCCAAAACAATTAGAATTTTTAAAAGTGCGCTGTAAGCACAGTGTTTGATGCTTCTATTTGACTGTCAGATATGAAGTGCAGGCTGCAAATGTACTATTCAGCACCCAAAAAAATTTGAATTGGTCAAACTGCACTGTAGTCGCAGTATTTGACGGTTCTATTTGACTCTCAGATATGAAGTGCACCACAGGACACAAATGTACTATTTAGCACAAAAAAGTGTGATTTTTTTTAAACCAACAATGTAACAATAGTATTTAAGGGTTTTATTAGACTGCAAGAAATGCAGTACGCAAATGTACTATTTAGAGTCTAGAGCTGAGGTAATATTTTAAATGATGAAATTATTTTTGTTTGCACTTTAAGTATATACATGTATATATACATATGTCTATGTTTTTAAGTATTTAAAGGCATAGCACACATTATTTCTACATAACATTGCATTAAGTGTTTTTTGAGCAGTTTTCACCTGCATTAGTGCTGCTTACCTTTTGAATACTTTGAATGGGTTTATAATAGTTTCTTTCATTTGTATAATTGAGTTTAAATGATACAGACACATTTTCAGGCTTATTGAATTCACAGCATTTTGAAACCTCTTTTTATTGTCTATAGTAATATCCCATTATTTGTGCTCAGCTAGATCATATCATTTTGTTCCTATGCATATGTTTCAATTTTAAGCAGACCATTTGTAATTCACATAGTAATTCACATAACTTGTCCTCAAACTCAAATTATTTATTTATTTAAAAATTATTTTACCAAGATGGATACATTGAGATTTCTCTCGTTTTCAAGTATGTCCTGGGTCCACAAACTTTGCATTATTACAATAGGGTACAATATTACAAAAATACAATACACAAACTATATATATATACACACACATATAAATGTATTACATAACAGGTAATAAATATATTCAATCATGCCAGGTGCATTCTGTGCTGAGGTATATTGCCATAGTTCTCTTAAAAGATTTTAGATTGAATGAAGATTTGACTATGTCCCTGAGGTTATTCCATAATTGCGGTGCTCTGTAGGAAAAGGAGGTTTGAGCCACTTTATTTGTGTATTGCGGTATGCTAAATATTGTGCTAGTACTGGATCGAAGGTTATTATGGAAGAAACACAAAAACTGGATGTCAGCTTATAAACAATCAACCATTCCTAGAATAAATGAATACATTCTCTTACATACATTGAGGGTAGTATGTTACAGCCCCAATTAACTATACTGATATTTTTAGACTATAAAGGGGAACTTTGTATGGTAAACCTGAGTGATGTAGAATATGAGTTCCATAAATTCCCTAAATTGTATTTCCAGAAATTATAATCAATTTAGCTTTTGTAGTGATTATGGTGCAAGTACTCTAAAGGAGATAGCATTACAATTCTTCAGTTTCTCGTGAAACTGCTTCTCATAGCCTCACTGGAGCCATTTTCCTCCTGGAAAAACCAAACCGTGCTTACTAGTACAAATATCGAATGCCCTAGAAAAAAAATGTGGCATTTTTTCATATAACACTCCAAGTTTAAAAATAAGCAGGCAACATTTAGAGGGACTGGACTCCTAGTGACCATATACCATTATCCCTACAGTAAGTTGAAGTGGTTATGGTGCTTGGATTGTGTGTCCATTCAAACTTTAAGAACTGGAGGAAATTATATCTATCTGTCCGATGGGCAATAGAGATACATGAGAGAAACAAGTAAATATGAATCGAGCAGTTTCATTCCATCAGAATTGGAAGTGGGCATTTTTTTACACACAAATAGAAACAATATCAATATTTTTGCTAGTAAACATCACACAGGAACTGCTAGAATGGAATGCAAAAAACAAGAAAATGGTTTTCTTTCTCTTGGTAACATCTCTTTGCATTCAATTTATGAAAGGCAAACACGTATTATACTAATATTGCAAAATAGAGTTTGAAACTATCCAGCCAAATGATGTAACTGTTTGCTGAATTCTGTAAAGTCAAACTTGCCAATATTGTAAAAAATATTTCCATAGACATTTTGACGCTAGGCAGTAAAATCTCTGCACGTCATTGAGAATCGATGTGCCATGGCATTGGATATCACTGACGGCAGATGTAAAACTGCACTTGCAAAGAAATTTTACAATATGCTTTTTGGAGAGGATTCTCAGAATAGGAAGATTTTATAAATCAGACACAGTTTTCTGTCATTTATAAAATACACTCAGTGTTGCAGTGCAGCAGGGTGCACTATCCTGCTGCTGATAGAGGCCGTCGTAATCAGGGAACACCATTACCATGAAGTACATGGTTTGCAACAATCTCTAGGTAGGTGGTACATGTCAACATAGCATCCACATGAGTGAACCATGGTTTCACAGCCTTCACCGGCATGCCTTCTTCCCATAGTGCATCCTGCTGCCATCTTGCAGGTAAATGAGGCATACACACACGGCCACCACCTGATCTAAAAGAAAACGTGATTCATCTGACCAGCCAGCCTTCTTCCATTGCTCCATGGCCCATTTCTGATACTCACATCTCCATTGAAGGTTCTTTCGGCAGTGGACAGGGATCGTCTAACTGGTCTGCAGCTACTCAGCCCCATACACAGCAAACTGTGATGCACTGTGTGTTCTCACACCTTTCTATCATGAACAACATTCGGTTTTTCATCAATTTGAAAACAATTACTTTAACTTCAAATCTTGTTATAAACAAATGATATATATTTATTTGCAAGCTTGTCTACTGTTTACTATCATGATATTCCCCCTTGCCATTAGAAAATTGTTCTAAGCAGGGTGTATCTCCCAATGATGATGACATGCTGGATTTATTGCTGTCATTATATCTCTTGCACGTGCAAGACATGCTTGCTTGAGGAATAATCACAGCAACTATATCACATGTCACAGTCCTCTCCTTAGATCCAACATGGGCAGATGCTGGTAAATCTCAGTCTTGGTGAAACAGTGCGCCTTATTTCTACGACTGGAGTCAAATGTTGCATAGCAGAGTGTACTTTTTTTTAAATGCTGACTAGTTTCACAAGTTAACCAAGGGAGTTCACCGATGAGGACACAAGGAGGGAAACAGCAGACAATGCTTCAATCAACATTCTCATTATCATCCACACACTGTTGTGCTTGCTGCATTTCTGTTTTGTGTTCTGTACCTAGCCATATGTGTAGTGTAAGTACTACTTCCTCACCATATATGCATTATTTTTAACATACTTAATTTTTGTTTTCATCTCCTCCCCTCCTGTACATGGCTCCAAATGTGACCGTGTTAATATTCCTTGTAACCCTCTTCACATTCCTGTTATGTTCCCACCACCACCCTCGTAAGCACCCTCCACCACAAACTGAGAACCAAATTCTTATACAATATGGCCTGCTTTGTTGCTGTAATGTATCTGCTGAGTGCTGGTGGAGAGTGTTAAAATCAAGCCCTCCAATCCCCACCCCACAAAAGTATAAAACCTTACAATTGCAATACTACCAAATTAAGATTATGTCCAAATTCCTATTACGCATGTTACTTGCTTTTGCAAATGATGTGGAGTTCAACACTGTCCCCCAACAGATTCCATTCCTAGCCTT